CGAACGTATGTTTTTAAAAAATATGGCGTTGCCCTTGTGTTTGACCTTCATTTCTCCAGTGTCGATTTTATCTATTAATTTGCTTAATCCCTCTTTAACGGTTTTCTTGGTTTCTTCGCCAAATCTTTGTCCGAATTCTTTAACCGTCCCTAATATATCTCATACTCCCGAACCTCCTCGTGCTTCTCTTTCCATTGCCAAATTGTGTCTACGTGCTTCGGCGTTTGCAGCGGCTTCAGCTTTCTTATCGTTGACAGCTCTGGCTATCCCAGCAGCTCCACCAGCAGTTGCACCGGCTGCAGCTAAACCAGCAAAGATTAAAGGTAAGAAAGGTAAAAATCCACCTTTTTTAGTTAAATTCTCATCAATTCTTTCCAAGTCTATATCGTCTCTGACTTTGTAATGTTTGTATTTATCGATAATCTTTTGGGTTATATGCACTTTTTTACCGTTGTAAGTTATTAGAGTCAGCGAATTCGTTTCCATAGCTTCTATTATTTTCATAACTAAAGTTTCTGGTTTCATTTTTAAAGGGTGTTTTTTTATTCAATTCTTATCATTCTTCTATCTGATATTTTAATGAAATGTTTTGCTTCTTCCAGCAATAAACAGTAGCCGGTAAAATTTCCTTGTGTTTTATCGATGTAAATATTTATGTTTACCCCTGTTTTGAAAAGATCTTCTTGATGAGCTGACAGATCGAAACAAAAGATTGGATGATTTAGTGAAAAATCTGTGTATTCAAACTGAGGCGCATTTCCAAACAATTCGCACATGTTTTTATAGTTTCTGTACAATTCGTTGTAATCTTTTTTGGAAGGATCAATTGTCAAAGGTTGATTGGGATAATTATCGTTGTTCAATCTGACTTGAACTTTGCGAATGATGGGATCTTGAGTATGGTTCAATGCCACTCTGAAAATGTTGTTGTTGTTTGTCTGAGAGTCTGGCAAGTTTTTGAAACCGACCATTAGATATCTCGCTGGTTTGACGGTGTTGGTGATTGGCCACGTGGTGGATTCTCCCGTTAAAGTCATGCTACCTACCGTGTTACGACGAAGAAAAGCAATTTCGATGTCTTTGGTTGAAGAGTTGAATATTCTCGTTTCCACTTCTACGGAAGGAGTGATTACCGGTATGTAAAGTTGGATATTCGTTATTTCCAATTTAGCGTCAGAGTTGTTTTCACCAAAGAATATCTTGTTGTCGTTGATTTCTCTTTGCAAATGAATTTTATACGGTAAACCTATGGAAACCTTTCTGTGTTCCAAGAGACCAAATAAAGGATACAACTTCCAATTAACGTAATTACCCCATCTGTTGTTCTCGACAACGTTGTTGTATTGTAGAGCTCGTTTTTCAAATCCGTGATTTACTCCGCGAGTCACTCTTTCCAGTGTGTTTCTAGCAACTACCCTTATCCTAGCAAGGTCTGCGTCATTTGCTACAGTTCTGACCGGTTCTTTTAAAACTTCTCCGTCACCGACATCGGGAATCCATCCCGAAACTGAATCGTAGTTTTTGGGATACAGAACCGTTTTCAACATTGTGTCAAACTCGCCGGGGTGTTTTATGGTCTCTATCGAATTTGAACCAGCTTCCAAAACCATTTCGCTGAATAAAGACGGAAAGAAGTTGTTTTCTAAAGTCGTGTTGGTTTGATGAATTCGATTCTGAGCGGCGTCTTTGATTTTGAAATCGCATCGGAAATGGGCATCGGAAAGCAGCAACCAATTGGACAACGAATTAATTTCAAAGGTAACTCTTCCTCCGTCGTTTATTTGGGTCTTTGTCCCTACCGATGGTGAGATGATTACGTAATCCTCTTTCTTCTTGTTGAACGAATATTGAATCGGATCATACAATTGAAAGATTGGATCCAATCTGTAATTTTTGCTTGCCATTTTTATCCAATGATTTTAAACCCTTTTCCTTGTTTTTCTAGGGCTTGTCGTTCTAGTCTCTTGTTTCTTAGTTCTCTTATTAGCTGCAGTTCTTTAAGTTCGTCAGATTTTTTCACTGCATCGCTAATTGGCCACTTTGGGGATGAGAGATGTTAGCGCAGAGAAGAAACCGTCTCCTTCGAATTTTTTTTTTCGTGTTTTAAAATTAAAGACATTTTTAATGCGATTATTTTATACTGTATTATTTTTAGTGATTCTTGTCTGTGGTTTGGGTAATTTATAATACAGTTTGGGGTGGGAGTGTGTTATAATACATTTTTAACAGTTTGGGGAGTCTGTTATAATACATTTTTAACAGTTTCGGGAAGTCTGTTATAATACATTTTAACAGTTGTGTCTTTTCGGATATGACGCATTGAAAAAGCTGCGCATGCGCAGAAGTGAAATGCGTCATATCCGAAAAGACATATACTACTAATAATTCCTATGAAACATTTTCACCCCAAATTGCGTCAAAATCTGTAAAGAGCTGTACCTCCTGGAGTGTTTTCGAGATAAAACACAGGGGCAATAACTCATACTAAATATTTTTCTGATTTTCAATTGGGCTTATCCTTGGGTGATATCAAACACTCATGACAAGTTTCGTCAAAATCCGTCAAGAATTGTACTTTCAAGAGTCTTTACAAACAAAAAATTGAAAGCGTTCTCAAGACCAAGGGCAATAACTCATAACATTTCACGTGGGCGTATAAAGATGACAATAACTTACTCCCATTCACTATTTGTCATAATTCATATGAGATAATTCTTATCTGGATTTAGCAAAACTAGTAATAGTCTAATGGATCTTATCTAGAATCCAAAACGCTCATACTCCCCTAATTAAGTAACATCTCCTATACTCCTACCCATTTGGTACGACATATGATCGCTTTATGGTCAAGTTGATTATTAATGGAGGTTAATATTCTTTATGACATAATATGGGTTAGCTGGATCAAGTTGTTACAACCGATAAATGAAAACTATGTTGTGTACTCACCCCATAACTAAGATAAGCACCAAATACACTACCAGCAATAGTAGCAAATCCACCCACCATAACAGCACATAGTTCAGATTTGGTCATGATTGGTAAAAATGGTTTGATCATCAAGGGGGCTTCAGTCTATAATACAACATATGTTATGAAATCTGTTACTGAAGTACTTGTTAGTAGCTCGTAGATATTGCGTTAAAATATAAACCAGACAACTGCTTCGTTTTAGTGGTATATTACTCAAAATTGGAAAAGGGGGTTCTCATTTCGTAACATAATAGTATTTTTAAGCATGGGCGCTGAAGTTTGGACTTTTCTTTGTAAATGATTTACCTTACAACTATATGTATTTTTAACAGAAAATAGCTTAGTATACGAATTAAGACTTACCATGCCAACAAAGATGTTTCCTGCAGCATTTAAAGATTCTGCTGGTGTGGTTCCCAGACAAAAACTGAGAAATCTTCCAAATACTTTAACAATAGCCTGCATGATTCCCAGATAATAGAGAACAGCTATAAATGTACTGAAGAAAGTCACAACTGGCATCACCTGGAATTGTATAAAGAAAAAGGTCCTCATGACTTTTTTTAAATTTTAAAGTGCCATCAAGAACGTAGTTTCTGCCATTTGTGAATTCACCCTGGGGTTGCGGTAAAAACATGTTCATAGGTATTAACAATAAGTTTCCACTATAAATAACTTGAAAAGTCAGATACGCCTCTTAGTAGCTGTATCCGCATTAATTTTGTTATTAACAATGTGTTGAAAAAGTATTTGCAAATGAAATAGATTTTTTCAACTTTGACACACTCAACGTTGGTTTTTGTAATGTAATATTTTTGTAATAAAATAAACTTACTTTAAATGCAAAGAAATGGTTGAGATAGGTTGTTTCACCAAAAACAAATTTTGCTCCTCGATCAGAATAAGCAAGGAACTCAGTGACTCGATCACCTAGCCATTGAAACAGATCTCTACCGGGCGTTGTTTTCAAAATAATCAAAGCAAAGAAATACTGTAAAGTTAAACCCCAAAATATGGGATGCCAATTCACCTAAAATATAGAAAAACATTCTGATATTTTACGTGAAATTGTAAGGATTTCTAACATGTGTATGAAACACTGTTGCAAAATTGGTTTGGAGGGGCGTGTCCATTGATTTCTCGTATAGTTTCTCTTCTAATAGTTTGTCTTCTGTCTTCTTTTGTGCCCCCATCCAACACATGAAAACATGGAAGCTCAGGGCATTTTTGGTGGTCATTAGGAACCAATGTATTCAATAAGGCTGACAATCCCTATTATCCAAATATTGCAGACTGTCGGAATACTTGGATTTCAGAATTCAGTGCATTGTAGTTCCATTTAGTAGTTTAGCGCTCTGTACTAACCTTGGCTGGATTGACAGATGTAAGATATGTGAGTAAAATAAAAGCTGTCAAACCGCCGAGTGATACTAGGTGTTCGGGTCTCTCCAAAACAACATAAACTATTAACGTAGTAATAATAATCACAACAGCAGCTATGTACAAAAACCTGAAAATATAATTCAATTTTTCATTTAATAATCTTATTTATACTTACGAAAAGTTAAAGAAGGGGTGCGCATTATACACGCCTGTGCACTATTTTTGCAATTATACTGTACTTGTAATTTACTGATTTGGTTGTTTAAGGCTTCAATTATATCGCTAAGTAGCCGTCCCATATTGAACAAATGAAACACAGTAACTTCAAAGTATTTAGAATCTTCGATTTTTTCGGGAGAGGGTTTATATAGGCGAAAGCCTGTTCACCAACCCCTTTCGTTTTTATATTAATAAAATACTGTTATTAAAAAACTTTTTCTTGTCAAAGTGTATATACTTATCCGAGTTTACACCCCTTTTTCAAATATCAGACAGCTGATTTAGTCAAAATATAGAGTCAAAGTTACCTAGACGGTAACCCGATTGCCTCTTTTTTTTTTACTTCAGATTTCTATTTTAATGGTTTTACGAACTAGATTACATGAAAAGTGTGTAACTTCTTACCATCTAATGGCTTTATTCACTGTTTGATTTTTGTTGCTGGAAATCTTCTCTGATAAAACAGTAGTATATGGTGAGATATATTTCCAACAAAAATGAATGAAAAGTAGCACTGTCCCTAAAATTGTATAACCGAGCAGTCGATACGATCCTTCATCTCCAAAACGGTAGTACATGGCATAGATAAAATAGACTACGTAAACACAAAATAACAAAACCAAAAATGGTCTAAATATCCGTGTTTTGTGATTGTTCCAGAGTGATATTGCGCCATTTTGACTTTTCAGCACTTGTCGGGAACAACAATTATAGTTATCTACTTCATCATCGTCTTGCAATTTATACTCCGGTGGGAGATTTTCAGGGTCGACGCCATTTCTCTTCCTCAAACCCTGTTCTTTTTCACCCAACTAAAAAAAACCCAAACACTATATGAGTACGTGGAAAGAAATACAGCAAGGAATATCGTGTAAATAGAGACTCCTCTAGCTAGCTAGTGTGTGGAAATCACTTGCACGCATTGCTCAGACTACTAGAGAGTACATTGCTCGATTCTTTGCACGAACATTGCTTAAATCTTTTTGTTAAGTCAAAGCTTAAACATAGTGCATGCACACATTGCTAAGACACCTTACGAGCGCAAATTGCTTAAACTCCACACGCGCACACATATAGTTGACTTATTGATAAAGTCTAAGCTCTTTATGTTTAATATAGAGTAATTAATATACTTACAGAATCTAAGGATGAAGTAAAACCGGGGTTATCTTTTCCTTCCCCATCATCTGTTGACTTGTAATGTTTCAATTCGATTGGGTTTGTGGGTTTGTTAGATTCCTCTGACATATTGGGTCCTCTATCGCCTCTATTTGAAATGTAAACTGGTAGTTTGTGTTTATCAGATATTCTTTTCGTCTGTCGTGTTTTAACAATATTTGTATACTTGCTCTTTACACATTTATAACTTGTTAGCCAATTTTATTATCTGAAAGTAAAATAAGGGATATTATTTGATTTAAAGGATATTCCGCTTTTTTGGAGGTCAAAAAAAAAGTTTTGTTCAAATTTGTGAAAACTATGCACCAAAATCTAGAGAAATGTGCCCTTTAAAGTATCGGACAGTTTCAACTAAAAAAAACCAGCCGTGAATTTCCAAACGCCAACAATATTTAAAAACATACAAGGTTTTTAAGTTTGTTATGCTTTTTGAGGGTTGTTAGAAAAGTAGAGTACGGATTTGAGTAAAATGAACGAATAATTGTAGAGAAATATGTCTACGTATTATAGACCAGAGGGAGAAGGGGGGTATTGTCACCCGAGAGGGGGCAAAATCTGAGTTAACTTTTCTAGAGGCATTTTTCGTCAGGAATCCGAATCTGGGAGGTAAAGTGCCGGGTCAGGGGGCGTTTGAAGTTCAAAATGTAAACTCTCAATATTGTAAATTTGTACTCGGAATTCATAAGTCTAGTACCACAGCAGGAACTTTAGGGGAATGTGGTCGTACTATGTACTATGCTATATGTATCAAATACTGGATTAAACTTACTAATAGGAAACCCAAGAAAGTTTTTAATAATTTATGTTAAAGAGACTTGATTCTGCTGGCAGAATAACATGGGCTACCAAGGTCAGGATTATCCTTACTTCAATTGGATTCGGCTGTGCATGGGACTTCCAAAATATTAGAGATACAGACAGTTTCCTTAACAGTATAAAACGTCGCTTATTAGACATAAATATTCAGGAATGGGGTTGTAACATTAACAATAGTGAAAGTCTGGTAGCCACTGGTATATAGATAAGACAATGACATTTACATCAAAGTGATGACTTTTTGATAAGTTATGAAGATTTAACTTATTTTGATTTTTTCATTGCCATATTATTATCATTGACCGTCCCATAATCCAGATTCAATTATTATATTATTATTATTACTGTATATATTGTATATTATGAATTGCTATGTATATGGGCCTCTTTATGGAATAGCATATTACATTACTCGTTGATCGTTATTTGAGAATATGCGGTTAATTTAATGATCTTTCGTTCAGTAATACTTAAATTCAATTTTTCGTTCAGTCATACTCGAATTCCATCATGGCTACGGAACACATCAAACATTATCGCTACGATGATACGGCACGGTAATTATGTTTATGCATTGGCGAATCCGAAATCTAAGGAATGATATTGTTATTATCATGCTATGATAGTGAAATGAAATGAAAAATTATAAACAATTGGGGTTCTTCACGACGTACTGGCCTTATAAAGTACACATATGTTTATCACATGTTACGCACGTGACATGTTTCCTAATAGGAACGGACATAACTCTACTTATAGAATTGCATGTTTCAACTATCCGGATTTTCGTTAAACCGCACGATTTTATTGCGAACGGGAATGTGTGGATAACGAGGCTCCAATGTACTTATTTACTATTAATAAAGATAAACACCAAAACTATGTCAAAACGCTTAATTAACAATTAGTACTCATTAGTGGTAATGAAAACTGAATACCCCTTTAATATATTTATAACAAAATATAGTGTCTACTTGGACAGAGAAAGATATCATTACATCTAGTACAGTTAACAATCTTCTGGTGGTTAATTGTAATATCATTACAACAAGCACAGTTTACATTCTTCAAACGGTGTTTTCATTACACACAGTGTACACTCTGCTGGCTATAATGAAATTGGTATATAAAATATGAAGTTTAAGTATATGTTTTGTTACAATAATATCCAAATATAAGTAGGTGTCGCGCTTCATTCAATTTATATACCTATTTCCACTTCGGGTGGCATACCACGAGTTCGGTCGTTGTACGAGAAATTGTAAAAGAAATAATATTCTTAAAAACTGTAAGAAATATGAAACTCCCTTGTCAATATTTGGTTAGTATAGACAGTTATATAATATTTATCTTGAATATCAAATATGTCAGGTGAATATCTTATTATTTATATACAAAAAAAAGGGCTTTAAATCTCTAAAGCTTCAGTACAAATACAGAATAAATCGTGATCGAACGGTTTAGGTTATAAAATTCTGGCGGTGTCCCCAATATTAGAAATCCGACAATAATACTCAACTTAATTTGACACAGAAACACAGTTTACTATCTGCTGGTTAACTGGATACATAATAATAATTACATCATGTATATAGTTCACAATCTATTTTATGTTAGTCATTTATAATTAACATACATTATCTAATTATGTTAAACTTTAACTTGCACCTAGTTTTATCTTAAACCTTGCTTTGTTTTTATAGGACTATTTATGTTCTCATCACCATCTAACACAAAGCACAATTCTGGTGGCTAATTGGACATAGAAAGCTATCATTACACCAAGCACAATTTACAAGCAAAATTTTCAATATTCTGGTTTGAATACACAAAGCTAAATTTAAACAAAACAAAGTTTAAGATATTTTAGTGGCTAATTGGACAGAGAAAGCTATCTTTACACCAAGCACAGTTGGAAATCTTATGGCTAGTCGGATATATAAGCTATAATTACACCACGCAAACTCTGCGAGCTAATTTGACAGAGAACGCTATAATAACGCTAATGAAATGTGCTTAGCCGCTTATAAATAAGTCAATGCAGCCAAAATTGATAATAAAATACTAATAGGTATTTTGCATATATCAACCAAATCAACATTACGATATAATCAATCCGACTCTCATCAGATCTTTTCTAAAAGAAAAAAAAATGTACTTGAACAAACACGAAAAGCTACTAGATGTTAAACATTAATATCATCCCCGTTGACCCCCTTCTTGAGATGGATTTATTCAGAAATGAATAGACCACAATAGAGTCAAGTACATGAACAGATACGTAAAGGTAAATAAACTGAATTGAAGTGTTCTTGTGACATATGCTCTAGCTAAGATACCCCCGGATGGGGTGGGGGCTTAGTAGATTTCTTCTTCAAAAATGTTGAGCGAAAAGTTTTCGCAAAATTCAAACGAAACAATGAACCTTTCGTACAAACGACTTCTAAAAAAAAATTCAAAAGAATGCCACAATTTCTTATGTGTGACTCCGAAAAATTTTCAGAGTGTCAACTATTTTCAAACAGCTCATCAATTGTTCAAACGTTTATAAAGAACAATGGGATGTGAATGTCAACCAAGTTGTAGTATTCCATACAAAAAACACACTAAAACCCCCAACAAACGCTTATTGCAGTCAGTATAACTTCAAAATATAGATTAAATTTCTCTCAAAATTTTTCAATCAATCATATTGTGCTTAACAGTTTGCAGTTAGTTCATTTTAATTTTCAAATTCATATTCCTATTCATGATTTTACATAAAGTAATTTACTTTATTATTTTAGCCTACTTAGATATAAACTTTAAATTACACTGACCAAGCTAAAACAAGGTCGATTGTGATTCTCGTACTGTACAATAATTATTTTATAACATGAATGTTTTTTTTTTGGGTGGGTTTTTGACGCCCTACCTTCTTAAAGGATTTTTTTCTTATACTAACAAAAATAAAGGTTACACCCCGAACCTTGACTCTTTACCCCATGCCGAGGAATGAACCTAAACTTTCTTAAATCAGGCTGATATCTAAACAGGTTAAACAGTATTTAAACAGAGCGAACTATTTTCAAACAGGTTGAACTAAATCTAAAAAGGTTGAACTATATCTTAACAAGCTGAACTATGTCTGAACAGGCTGAATTATATCTTAGCAGGTTAAACTATGTCTGAACAGGCTGAATTATATCTTAACAGTTAAACTATGTCTGAACAGGCTGAGGTTGAACAATTTCTTAACAGAATTAACTACAGTGTATTAATGTATTAACAAGGTAGATGAAATATAGTAATGTAAATAAACCAGGGTAATAAACAAGGTAGTATATTGTGTACTTTATCCTACCACTTCAAATATTTCTACAAGACACCACAAGGTTCAATCTATTATATGTAGGGTTTGCTTTCATTTTATTGAACAGTTTTGAGTAAGGGAGTTGAATTAATAGATAAAATGCACTGATTAACGTGTAGTCACATAAGGTTCGATTCCAGCAAAGATTCTGGTATTGAAATCTTGCAAGACTGGGTAGTTTAATAAAAAAAATAATATTGTTTCTGGAAGTCTTGAGCAGTCTGAAATTCAAAATTCGACTTCCAGACAGGTCCAGAGAGTAAGAGTGTAATCATAACCTATTGACGCTTAGGATCTATACTTAACAAACCACACAGCTACAGAAATACCCCTTGACATTCAATACACTGAAAAATAACGTAGCCTACCTACTTGCACTTAATTAATCAACTGATGAACTGTTGTGGTTAGCAAATAAAATTTACTTTTAAAATAGAATGTTAATGATTGACTATAATATATACCGTTTAAACACCGGATATATTATTGATGAAATCACAACATACACACCTTTCTCGACTAAAGACAAGCCTGTTAACCGAAATCGTACGAACATCTGCAAATCGAAATGAATAGTACGTGCGTTACAGAAGTCGTAATATCAGGATTCTATTCTGACCAACGAAAACTGTCATCGTACCAGGCAATAACCTGCAGCTTTCAATATCAATTGATCAGAGTTCATTTATAGTTATAGTGTTTTGGTTCGTTTATTATTTTTAAATAAATCCGAAATTCTGCAGCTGCCACTGACTCAAATTCATAGACAATAATAAGCTGTAAATTAAATACAAGGTATAATGATATTGTTGTTATACATCATTATATCATTAATCTCAAGCTGCTATAATTAGTAGAAGTTGTGTTGACAGCGTATCCAATTTTAAGTATATTATTATATTACATACTATGTATATTAAGGATAAATTTCAAGAAGGATATTAAACAATCCGCCAATGAACATTACGTACTGACTAAATCATCATTTATAATATTTTGACACATATCTTACTCATTATTGAATATCATTGAAATGGGTTATCTGTAATTATTTGATTGTTCATAAAGGGAATATGATTCAAGTGTGACGTGCAACAATCCATGAATTTGCTTTGATATCAGTGTAGGCGTAATGGGAATAATGTTTTTACTCAGTGAAAGTCTCGTATATAAAAGTCGCAGTGACATAAATTAAGTGACTACTGTGTAGTAAACAATGTTTGGTACGTGTTCTTCCCAACATTTATAGGTCAAACGGTCCACTTCATAAGTAATAGATAGATTTAGTGGCGGATCATTGGGCCATGGCTACACCCTCGGGCATGTAAAATATATTATTTTGAAGTATAAAATTAAGCTCTTTAAATGCTCAAAATTTATCTCAGGCCATCTGAAATCCGTTGGCATCTCGGATCCTCGGGCAGCACCAAGACCGGCCTCATGGGCCTTGGAGAGCCGCCTCACATTTTTGACCCCCACCTCAAGAATTTTCTAGATACTCCCCTGGTTAAAAGGAGGGATCGAAGCAATTCTTAGATCCGCTAGCGTTCTGTAACAGAACACTGTCGAACATAGTTATGACTGTATCAAACAGTTGCCAAAAGTAAAAATTTTCACTTTGCCAATTCCGGTCAGTCTTGGAAACGCCTATATGAATTTGTGATTGGACCTGTCATATTGTGATACTTACTAATAAAGCATACAAACGTAATAAACATATCAATACAATTTGTCCTTCAACATATAGAGGCTTTATATCCTGTCTTATTTTCACTGATGTGCTAAAACTTGTAGGCTAACCCCATGGCCCACACCTAAATACCAACATCATAACTATAGTCATATATTCTTTTCAAATAGAATTATTATAATGAATCTTTCAAAGTAACTGCGGTAAAATATATCAGCCTATATTATTGGTATTTATTATAAAATATTCTATTCAAATCGATTATTTGACAATTTGTGTTCAGGGTTAGCAGATTAAGTATATATTTATCAAAGAGTTCTGTTCAATTATGCCCTTATTATATCAGAATTTCAATTTTAAGTAACTTACTAATTGTCGTGTCTAAACCATCATATCATTTCATAGGAGAAACGAAAACGGTCATAATATAGCACAAATAAAAAGTAGTGAGGCACCTGTCTGTACGCAAAACTCTTGGGTAAAATCGGGAAACAAGGGTGTTTCTGTGCCTCTGAACCACAACCCCCACCCCCACCCTCTAATTTTTTGGAAAACAAGAAGAATGCGTTTTTGAAGTAGACACCTGCAAATTCTGATCACTCTTGTCAGGACCTGTCATTGTTAATGTTGACGCTCCTTACTCACCACCAATAAAAGCGCATGTAAACGTGATGAAAATATATATGAAATTTGTCTTGATCAGATATGGTAAAAAAAAAACGAACAACCAGTCGACGATTTTAAAGGTACTAATTGATAGCAGTGGTACGTAGGTTTGTATCTGAAAACTTATTGCACACTGATTGACATTACTTGAAGCTATTGCTAGGATATTACCTGTATTAACATATTCAAATATTATTCTGTACTAAAGGCTAAAACCTTGCCACGCAGTAAAAGTGTAAAAATGCAAAAATATAAAAATTCCAAATACATTAAATGATATAAAATACTTGTTTGATTGGTTTATTGATTAGAAACTTCTACGAATTATTAAAAATGTCTTACCTTCTGTGAGACATCTACCTTTTGTATCCTGTGTGTGTTATCTATAACAGTCAACAAAGCGAGGTGTAGTGTATCGTCTATCAAAATGTTTGAATAAAACGTCATGGCCATATGAGCACAGCCAGTTTTTACTCTGCCTTTCATAAAACCATGGGCCGTAACAAAATAACTGGATGTTTTGTTATGGATAACCTGACTTTTTGAAAGAAAGAAAAAAAGTTAATGCGCACTCCAAGGAGTTGCCGGTTTTCTTTCTCTCAATTATATACTTATTTACTTATCATTTCATTTTTCTCGGTTGATCATTGTATACATTGAGGCATAAATCCATTCGAAAAACTTGCCCCACCAGCGACGGAAAATCAATGGGCTCTCAATTCTTCAAGTTCGTTATGCTTCTTGAAAGCAGTTAAAAGACTACTGTACCTATTTTTAAGTAAAATAAACGCCCAATTTTAGAGAAATATGTCTCTAACGTTTCAACTAATAATATCGAGCCAATAAAGCAAAACAGAACACGTCCAAAGATAAAGCAACAGTTTGCCAATTGGCAAACAGCTTGATGCTGATGAAGTTGAACGTATTGAATGAAGACCCTATAGACATGACATACTGCTGCAGATGGCAGATTTACTGGTCACTACGATGAACTAATTGACACATTCAAGCAAGGGCCTCGAGAATAATAATATCACCAGCTTGGTCACCGGCAAACGTGAAAAAAATGTTATAAAAAGTCCAGTACAATAATAAAAAATTTACATCAGTTGCTATCAACCTGCGACATATGCGAGCATATTGCGTTTCCAGGGAGCTTTTCTAATACAATATTTTTTGCGTGTATGGAGATGTTATGGCGCTTATCTAAGACTAGATTCCGTGGCGAGATCAACATGCTCTGAGCTAATTTTCCGTGGCAGCTCAGTAAGGACGCCTTTCTAGTGTGACGGAGCTAGAACTGTCAAAAGCGCTTATTCAAACATTGAGCTGAGTGATATTCTGATTTTCTGCTCTTTAATTATATCGGATTGTACAGCTGTGCAGCTTTATAGGGGGCGCCAAAATGATTTCTGTCCCTCCAGCCAATTTGGAGCCACCACGACACTGGCTCTACAATTGATGTATTGAGCACTTTATTGCCCAGTGAAAATATTGTATTATTGATATGAAATTGATACTATTACACCCAATCAGTGTTTATACGCCCACATCCAAAGCGTATATTGCCGTCGCCCCTGTCCGTCGGTACGTCGGCATTGTTGTAGAGACAATAGAGGCTGCAGTTTTTATCTGATCTTGATGAAACTTGGTACGTATATGTAAATTGGTATGTATGAGATCTCGGTCAAGTTCAAATTTGGTAATTCTCGGATGAATAGTTTTTGCTCTTGACTTCGTAAAAATCATGTCAAATTTGACTTGTAGACACGATAGAGGCCACAATTTTGATCTGATCTCGATGAAACTTGGTATGTATGTATATATTGATGGTGAAGTTCGAAATTGGTAATGATTTCATGAACGGTTTCGGAGTTATTGCCCTTGACGTGTCAAATATTGCTTGTAGACACGATAGATGCGACAGTTTTTATCCGATCTCGATTAAACTTGGTATGTATGTTTATATTGGTCAAATTCGGAATTGGTAATAATCGAATGAATGGTTTCAGAGTTATTGACGTTGACTTAGTAAAATCTTGTCAAATTTGTCAAAGTTTTAACAGGTAATAATCAGATGAACAGTTCCAGAGTTATTGCCCTTGTGTGTACATCGATGAGACCTTGTTCAATACGATGATAATTTGATGAACTGTTTTGGAAGTTTTGCCTTGACTCATAAATATTTTTAAGATTAATTGAAAATTCATTATTAAGTCACTAAAGACTTTGTTATAATTTCTGATAACTGGTAGAGGGCGTATATTACCTTGCCTAGCAAGCTGTCTTTGTTCATATTAAAAGTAAGAATTATGCTGAAACAGAATAAATGGACAAATGACAATGCTCTCGAAATATGTAAGCATATTATTGCAACCTTGTAGTATTGGATGTCATTAACCTCTATATTCCCAAAACGGAGTGAAGTTTGTATTTGTCTGTGGATTGGAAACCTCATTGTTGGTAAGCAAGTGATGAAAAGTGATAAGTCTTCATGGCCAGTCTGCGATCTTCTGTATCAAATGTATGTCTCACTGGTTTCCTGAGATTTAGCCTCTTGAGTACAAACATAGAGGGAGGTTATGGGCAAGGCTTTAGCAAAACTTATGTATAATGAACATGATTTATGACTACATGATAAAATATAACATACAAATTGACCATTTATTTACACAGTGGGTTTAAATTTAGAAGAAAAAATAGTTGCTAAGATATGTTTTTCTCTTCTATAGACTTTTAGATATGAAATTCACTTGCCTTTCATATTAGTATTTGTCAAATTAAAATATTGCCTTACAATGTTCTTGACAATTGATTCGCACTAAAATTCCATTTTCTCACCTTCACCCTTCTTAGACCCTGTATGTATTTAAAAGATAGGATAGATCATCTAAACCAAGTGATACAGCCCAATTTAATCAAGCGATGTGCATATTATAATGGTCTGTAACATGAGATGCAATTACTTCCCTTGATTAAATAAAATGTATATATAAAAAATGCTATGTAGATTTCAATAAATTTAAAGTAAAGGAAAAACATGCTCTGATAACGCAGATGAAATTTTTTTTATGAAATTCCTGATTTTAAATTTATTGGAGAATGTTGCTCTGAGCAAAGGAATGCTTTAAAATGTATTCTCTATAACAATATTTTTATATTAAATTATTTCTCAATAGGATCATAGCTTCTTTTTGCACAATTTCAATTCTCCGTCCAACAGCTGCAGTTCTTGAGATTCAAGACAAATATGACCATATTGTGATGTAACTATTCAAATGCTTTTTGCTGTACATGTAGTAAAATCACAATCTAGGGTGATAGGAAATCAAAATGATGTAAATGTAAAGAGATCTATTAGTTTCAACAGAATTATGACCACAAGAAGCCTCTTTAGAATCCCTTTAATGTAAGATAAATGTTTATAAATGAAAGTGAAGCACTAGAATATGAGTTTTTGTTCCCTTTGTTCGATATGAAAAATATACAGTGACAATTTTGCACCAGATATACTGAAAATAAAAAAGGGTTTGCATTATACATGATAGCAGATTATAATTGCAATTATACAGTATGAATAAGTATTATAATTTATATTTAAATCGATCTTTTCTATCTCTAACCTCAGCCAAAGCTTTAGATCTGACATCATCTGTGATATTTAATGGTGATAGTGGACTGGCCAATATTCCCAGGTTCCGTAGGATTGTTTCCTCTCCTGTTCGTAGAAATGGATTGTAAGATTTCTCTTCATGAATGGTAGAGGGACACTGAAATTTACAGAGAATATTAAATCTCGATAAATGTTAAGGTTATAACATTTATACATTAGATGAAAAAAAAACTTTTGAATAACAAGAATGAAAGATAGCTTGCCAGGCAAGGTAACATACGCCCACTGGCAGCTGTCAGAAATGATTAAACAGTCTTTAGTGACTACAGGGTTGCACAATATAGCTAATAGAGTGAAACGTCAAGTCAGACACGATATTTCGGTTAAATATTATCCGATCATCACGAAAATCGATAGGGATCATCTTCATGACAACATAGACATACAAAATAAAAATCAAAAGAATCTGTAAAGAATTGTAGCCTGTAGAGTGAGCACGAGTTGCACAATATAGCTAATAGAGTAAAACGTCAAGTCAGACACGATATTTCGATGAAAAATTATCTGATCATCACGAAAATCAACGAGTTATTGCCCTTGTGTGTATATCGATGAGACCTTGTTCAATATGATGATAATTTGATGAACTGTTTTGGAAGTTTTGCCTTGACTCATAAATATTTTTAAGATTAATTGAAAATTCATTATTAAGTCACTAAAGACTTTGTTATAATTTCTGATAACTGACACACAAAATAAAAATCAAAAGAATCTGTAAAAAATTGTAGCCTGTAGAGTGAGCACGAGTTGCACAATATAGCTAATAGAGTAAAACGTCAGGTCAGACACGATATTTCGGTGAAAAATTATCCGATCATCATGAAAATCGATAGATCATCATGAAAATCAATAGGGATCATCTTCATAACGACATAGACATACAAAATAAAAATCAAAAGAATCTGTAAAGAATTGTAGCCTGTAGAGTGAGCACGAGTTGCACAATATAGCTAATAGAATAAAACGTCAAGTCAGACACGATATTTCGGTGAAAAATTATCCGATCATCACGAAAATCAATAGGGATCATCTTCATAATGACATTGACACACAAAATAAAAATCAAAAGAATCTGTAAAAAATTGTAGCCTGTAGAGTGAGCATGAGTTGCACAATATAGCTAATAGAGAAAAACGTCAAGTCAGACACGATATTTCGGTGAAAAATTATCCGATCATCATGAAAATCAATAGGGATCATCTTCATAATGACATTGACACACAAAATAAAAATCAAAAGAATCTGTAAAAAATTGTAGCCTGTAGAGTGAGCACAAGCCAAATGTGAACGGACGGACGGACGGACCGACGGGGTGATTACAATATACGCCCATCTTACGTGTGGGCGTATAAAAATGAAAAATCCTTTAACTGGCACATTTTGTAATATTACTTAGAGTTACCGGTAGTCAAAAAATAATTTGTCCAAGCAAAAGCTTTCTTGAAGTAATATTTGAAGTAGTAGAAGTAGTATATCTTGTCGTATAACCTAGAGTTGGGTAAAAAGTTGATATTTCTCTATGAGGAGGCTTCTTTAAGTTTTCATATAACGACATAGATGGTAACACAACACATATTATTTAATCCAAAGTCAAAACAATATAGGAATCAGAAATGCTTAAAAAGTCAGAGAATGATATTGCAACTTACTGTAGCATCTTTAACTTCTCTTTTTCTCTTGGTCCATTCATATTTATCCTAAAAAGACAAGATAAAAACTTCCAAAAATTCAAACTACATTCAGTAGGATATATAGACACAGCTTTATGGAACAACAATCACTGGTTAAAGTTTTATGCAACGTTTCGACGTGTTTCCCCCGTCGTCCTCAGGCACATAATGAGAAGAAGTGATGGGCAAACTATATATACATTAATGCTTATTAGTTCTCATAGGTCACAGTGATTGTTGTTCCATAAAGCTGTGTCTATATATCGTACTCACAATTGCTAAATGCCATTCAAAGACTTTACATTCAGTAGATTGAATTTTAATAAATTCTAATTCTGTTTGTGTATACCCCCAGTTCCCAACCTGGGGTGTTTTCACCCCCTGGGGGTGTGGGACTAGGCTGTCACCGGTGTGGCCAATTGGTTTAGGAGAAGAATTTATTTTTAATTGAGAGAGCACCTCACATCAACACATGCTGGAAATGTGGATGAAACAAATGTTTGGGGGTTTGAAAGGTCCAGGTGATTGCTCCAGGGGTGTGAAGGCTGAAAAAGGTTGGGAACCACTGGTTAAGACAGATATACTGGTAAGATAGAAGAGGTGCGAATATATTCTCAAATATACTATATTTTATCAGTATTGACTTCCATTAGTTATGATGGATAGTAATGTCTCATAATAAACGAAAATATTCAATTTACTATGTTTGTTTGTTAGTTGTTTCTTTTTACTGAGATAATTCAAGACACCTGACTTCGTTAAACAATTTGGAAACTCACCTGAGCTGTGTCATTTTCAGGTTCAAGGTCACAAGTGAATTCAAGATCATCTTCAGCATATTCATGACCTTTAATATAATGTAATGTAATGTTCTGTTGGGGGCTTAGTTTTAAAGGATGGCGTGGATTCAGAGGTAAAACACACTCAACAAAATATTCATATTCATAGCACAGTTTTCATAAGGTAACCGAGTGCTGAAGGTGGTCCATCAGAATGGTCTGAGCAGGCAACTCCAGTCATTCTCCCTTTCTCTACATGTCAATGGTAATAGCCTACAGATAAGTTTAAAATCGAAAATAGTTTAATCAATCATAGAAGAAAACCTACCTGGCCAAACTAAAGTATCAGCTTTAAGATTAGCTATTTTATCTAATGATCGTAACATAGTAGAGGCATTTCCTTCAAACATTCTTCCTATAATTATGATTACAAATACATCCTTGTACTTTTGCACTAACAAATCTGAATATAGTATTTGGACAAAAAATCAACCAGTTCAAGAAAGTGTTTAAAACTAAAGCAGGGTTTACAAATTCTACTTTATTTCATGATATCCAAGAATATCACAGTTGTGAAAGGCAGATAACCTTAGATTATTGAGATGTCACCACGTACCACAACCAGAGAGAAAGAGATGGTCTCCAGAAAACAAACTGTCTGGTGCTCCATATGAAGACCCATCTAAAACATAAACAACATGGCCGACTGTATGACCAGGAGTAAAGATGACCTTTAATTTTAATCCACCGAACTGTATCACATCACCATCTGCCACTGGGCTGAAAAAAAAAAAAAAAATTCATTTGAATTCAAATAGGAGCAGAAGCATTGGAATGACGTCATTTGCTTAATAACTGCTAACAGACGATAGGTCATAGGTTAAAAGTTATCATTCCTCACTAGTCCATCTGATCCAAAAAATTGAAATTATTGATCCAAAGAGATTCAAAAATTGACAAACAAAACATACTGTGTAACTTCAGGTATATGATCCATTGCTCCACCATATATTCTAATAGTAGGAAAAACTGACTTTAATTTGGCATTTCCACCACTGTGATCCCTATAACACAACACAACATATATTATACCATTTAAAGGGGGAGGACAGTTTTGTGAAAACGGATATTGAGACTAAATTCTTTGATCCTTGTGCTTAATAATATTTGTTCTTTGATTGAAAAGTCAATTTTAGTTTGTTCATTAATATCAGTGGTGGGAGTTTTGTTTGATCTTATGAATTTAATTGGTTATAAGTCTTTCTAAGACAGTCCAATTTTTCACCAATCCAACTCCTCATTATAACTAGGATATAAAATAGGGGTTTTCAACTTAGGGGTACTCCCCCCTAAAGGGTTAATTTTGAAATTGGATCAATGAGGTGCTTTGGAGTCTAGTATAAAATATTAGGACAGTTATGATTTAAGTCATTCTATACGAGATTAACGGAAAACCCTCCCAAAATCATGAAATAGTATAATTTATATGAAGTAAGGGGGTAATGCAAACGATTAAGGATCCTGAGAGTGGTTATAGAAAGAAAAAGGGATAAAAGTATCTTACCAATGTTTATGAGTAATCAAAATTGCATCTGGTTTGATATTGGTTTCCTTTAACACTTTCTGAAATGTTCATTATTTCATAGCATTAAAAGATAAAAGCTAAAACTGAGCTTCTATCAACAACATTGGCGAAGGCATCACAATTACTCTGCATAGATGGATTAAAAAATACAGCCCGTTATTAGCCAGCAAAGAATAATCACACTTTCTAGTTACCATCTACCTTACTTCCTAACAATTAATGTTCATCCTCAAGAATAAATTCAGGAAAAAAAAAACTAGGGAGAAATTATCACCTTCAAGGATGGAGAACAGTTCAAGAATTAATTCATATAGCAAAGCAAAGGTTAAGAATAATTTCACACATAAATTAATCTTGTGCAAAGAGAGGGCTAATATTATAAGGAAAGATTCAGCATTAAATGATGTAACACATATTAACAATGATAAAGATATGTGCCAGACTGTAAATGACCTACCAAAACTCTATCAGGATCACCAGGATCTACCAATATTACATTATTAGTCTGTTTATCTTGTATTAAATAACAATAATTATCTAACAACATAGGAATTGGTAATATACTCAGATCTACAAGTAAAATAATAATAAAGATACAGGTAATCCAACATTTTAAGATTTTTGAAAATGATATTAGTCTTCTGGTCATATGATTGAACTTATTCTTGTTTATCTCAAGTAATACTGTTCAAGGATGAACTATGACTGGTTTTAAGATAAAAATCTGCTCATTCATATATGCTACTTTCTAAAGGGTTGATCTGAATATATCTGGGTTTGGTGTAGGGTTGATATAAAAATAAGTTAATCATAAATGTATCATAATTTGGGTATAGATCGTGATATTTCTTTAGGTTTTTACTGGTTTTTGAAACAAAATGTTGTTGTTTTTCTATCTAAAAATTTAAAATGTAAGAAAAAATATTTTTTAATCAGGCGATATTACTAATGCTATACCTGTATTTCGCTCGGCCCTAGTTTAGTGGATCAGATACAAAATAGCTATCAGAGGCTGAAATAGAGGCAGATGATTTGGTCAAATTTTACCACTACCTTTAAATTCTGTAACAGAGGTTGTTGAATGATCAGCTCCATTTAGTTTTTCTCTTGCCTTCTTCAACTCTTTCTGATGATACCAATATCCTATTCTAGTTCTTGTGTATAGAAAATATCTGAAATAGAACAGTGGTGTAACCTATTTTCATGGATATAAGGATTCAACACCGAATTTCGTCAAAGATAAATAAAACGAAAAAAAAAATTTATGTCTTAGATGTTTCCTCAGATATTCTACAAAATAATAAAAATTGGTTTATTTCAATTTTCTCTATGAAACCTTCACTGACCCATATTTCATGAGCAACCAACTCGGCAATTTCGTGTACAATGTTTGATCTATAAATAAGTCTAGAAAAACATGTTGTATGGATACCGGGTGGTATCATTAACTTCTCTTAGTATTTATCTTTAATATCAATTCATTATAACTAGTGACAATTCCTTCAAACAACCACGATTTAAAAAAAAATAGTGACTGACAAAATAAGATACGTAGCGCGATTTATTGCTAAATGTCACTGAAACAACATAAGAACATTCTTTGTGTTCCATAGAAATTTTCTGCTGACACAGAATCCGCTAGTTGATCACGCGACTTCATTCGTTGGAATATATTCTAGCAGACGACACTTGGGATTCCAAATACAGCTTGGGATTATAAGGAAATTCGGCCGATAAAAAATGGTGACGTTTGGTAATAAGTGAAATCCGCCATTTTGTCTATGTCAAAGTATACATTAATACATTTTACCTTCCTTGAAACTACTGAATTCATTCTACTAGCTAATATTGTACAGAAAACCCATGTTTATCAAAACAAACTAATGCGGAGGTCGCGCAAGGTCGCTCATGTAAATTATTAATCCTTTCTGGAAATCCACGAATAATAGGTTTCCACGAAATACATTTTACCTTGCTTGAAACTACTGGATTCATTCTACTAGCTGCTATTGTACAGAAAACCCATGTTTATCAAAACAAGCAAATGCCGAGGTCACGCGAGGTCGCACATGGAAATTATTAATTATTTCTGGTTAAACGAAAAATAGGTTAGCACCAAATTAAGTTCATTGACTGAATATCATGGGTTGAAAATTAACCTGACAGGGAGTCTCACAATGAACAAAAATGTGTTTTGCTCTGTATCTATATTAAAACTAAAATGTATGCTTGTAGTTATGTAATAAATCTACTTCATCTGAAGCTGTGTAAAAAAAGTCCCTAGTAAACTATGAACTATTCAATTAGCCAGATACAGAAAAACCTACATTTTGCACTTCATTTACATTGATTGAATTGATGATGCTCTCTAATGATAATGATTCTTTGAAATTTAAGGGACTTCATTCTATCTTACCCGATTCGGAAACAGCACCCTCCCGCTTTCGACATATTTCAAAAAATCAGTAATCTGCAAATTTATTTCATTTTCACAGAAATGTCCAACTTTCTATTCCTTTTGACAGGTGTTTGTTTACAAATAGACATTTTTATCTCATTTTCTAAAGAGCTTCAACTTATTCTTACCTCCCTTGAACTGTAGGCTTCAAATTACAAATAAATAATGCGGCCTTAACCAAATCCGGATGACCTTAACGAATGATTCGTTCTCTTTTGCCGTAAAATAATTGATATGGGCCGAAAAATCCATTGTAAACGTTTTGAAGATATATTTAATGATATTTTTCCGTTGGCAATGTAAATGGATTTGAAAAAATAAAATGGGTCGAATGAGATTTGAATGAATTGTTAATGTTAGTGTCATTTAATATCAAACATGAAAGATATAATATTTTGTATGCCATGTATACTATAGGGCCTATGCCATGTAAACTATTTAATACGTATATTATGCATGTGGTGCATGGGCCAAAGGCAACATTGCCCACCTCAATATTCAAAATGTTATGTTGTGTTCCAAATTTCAAGCTTCTACATCATACAGGTCAAAAGATATAGGTCAACAAAAGTCAACAAAGGTCAAAATCGAAAAATGAAAATATCCAAATGTAAAAAACCCGTTCCTTTTTTGGAACTATAAAGCTGAAACAACTGAGCTGTTAACACAAACTGGCCAAAAGGATGAGGTAATTGTGTGCAAAGGCCCTTTTTTAACAAACGCATCCTATGCGAGTTATGCCCCTGCCTCTAAATGTAAACAATTAGTAATTCAACCCGGATGTGCCACGCCCACATAAGTTTTTTTGCATAGGTGAATTCATATTCAAAGTGTCTAGTTATATTCCAAATATCAAGGTTCTACATCAAATAGATCATAAGATATACATACACCAAGCTCAAAATGTCGCAAATATTGTAAAAAAAAAAAAACTCAAATTGAAAAAATCACGAATTTCAATTTTGCTTTAAAAAAACGATTGTTATATATCTATGTAAGGTACACGAGAAGCACATTAGGAAACCGAAAAAATTTACTCTCTAGGTTAATTAGGTCACGTGCTAGAGCAGTCCAAAGTTGCGAATTTGGCTTTTTACGGATAGCTATAAAACCGGAAGTACATGTCGGAGGTCAAAGTCAAAGTATCAAATGATAGCGAAGGTCAATGACCTTTGACCCTTTGAAGGTCAAGGTCATCAAAGGTCAAGGTCACAAGAAATAAGCTTTCTAACTTTGAAAAAATTCAATCGGAAATTGCAAAAATGCAAAAGCGAAATTCAAAAATCGGCTCCCAATGTTTTGTAGACTTTCGACAGCAGATTACATCGACACAAAAATTACGCAGATTTAGTTTATTCCTAAGGACTTATTTCGAATTTAAGAAAAGTTGGAAATCAAAATGGCGGCCAAAGTATCACTTCCGGTCGGAATTTTATTTTAAAATCGGCCATAGATTTTTATTTTATATCGATCAACGAAATTCCGTTCATTTTGATAAATTTCACCGGAAGTTATTCGACAAATTCGATTTTGGACTTCAAGTGACTCAAACTTCGAAACCGGAAATGAGGTAAAAAATCTGACTGTATCATATCATTTACTTAAGTGATGTCTATTTGCATTTTAAATTTCAGATCAATCGATGCAAAAACAAAAAAGTAGCCAAAAAATTGAAAAATTTGATCGCAAAAAGTATGCGATAAAGTTTCGAATTTCGAAATTTTTCAAGTGCTATCTAGTCGACATTAGCCACCGGATGTTAAAATTGAAAACCCCGGGAAAATCGACGCATAAATGCGCCTTCTATTGCCAATTTTCGAGTTTTGCACATGTTGAACTGTAGCACTTCCGGTTGCGCAAAAATGTTTCAATTTATATTTATGCACAACGTTGCCATTATCTAAGGTTCAGGAAAGTTGAATGATTGCTGCAACTACTGCAGTCTAAGCTCAGGAAGGTGTGTAAAAATCGAAAAAAAAAAAAAGAATTGACAATATGATGCAGTAGCAAAGTCCCACAATTTTCAAGATCGGACCAACGGACTGACCGATGGACGTGGGCGAGAGCAATATAGGCCTACGTCCACATTTACTTGTGAATGTTTATCAGCTATAATAGTTGAACATACGTGTTTTGCATAACTTTCGTAGAAAATTTGGGTTAAGTTACATGTTACGTTATGATATGTCGATTCTGTAATATTGCTTTGTAATTTGGAAACATATTATATTGATAATTCATTAAAATACTAACCTTACTCTTATGATACTTAAAATTAACATGAATTCGTCAAGGGAATACATAACAGTTCGACGAAATATAATCTGGTCGGGGGTGTTTAGTGATTGAAAATCTTGAGCAACAAGGCTATTCAAACCATTCTATAATTATCTTGCTAAAAAGTCGACGATCGTTTGGAGTGTCTAAATGTTCTGAAAGAGTACGGCAGTGGCATACATCATCAATTAGATATGTAGATCTAGGAGTCAGCAAGTGTCGGATTGCAGCGTTCTGCAGTTGAGGGCAATAGGGACTGTTTATGAAACATAATTAGACGCAGTGTGATAGGCCGATGGCCTTAAATAAGTCATCTTCACTCCAGTCGACCTAGCTGTAAATGGGTAGCATAATCCGGACTGATCAATGCCAAGAGTTAGTTATACAAAATAGAGTTGTTTCTTTTTTTTCTTTCCTTTCAACTACGAGATTCTTAAATCCATGACGAAAGATCGTATTAATAAAACGATTTCAATTCAAATTCACTGAACCGAAACTGTTTCATAAAATACCTACACTCAGTGAATGCCTCCTACGCCTCCTGACCCCTGTATTAGCAGATATGAATCAGGGCAATTTTTTGTGGTGATATTAATAATTCACTAAAAAAACATCATCACGCATTCCTTCCCAAATAGTGGGGTATCGCTCATTTCTGGGGTGGGAATATTTTTTGAAAATATTGTGTATGTTTTTTTTTATTGACCGTGGATCAGTAAATCAGCATCACGAACCGTTCGACCATATATCCTCAACTACTAAAATCTCATATTTCTTTTTCAATACCTTTGAGATCAGTAGTCTCATCCTTGAGACCAATAAACTCTCATCATCGAGTTCAGTATACCCCGTACTTGAGATCAGTAGACTCTCATCCTATCCTTGAGATCAGTAGACACATCCTTGAGATCAGTAGACGCTCATCCTTGAGATCAGAGACACATCGAACAAACTGGATTTTTATGTTTTTGTGATATAGTATGGATAGTTTATGCTGTTAAGCATTCTTCCGATTTGCTAAAAAGGGGAAACCACCTTTACAAAATAGAAAAATGGAAATGAGAATAGTGGTGTGTGAATGGTGTACGTACACAGTTCCTTAATAAAGAATTGTGACTGGCTTCAATCTGCACTTCTGTCGGTACGTTAGATAATCCAATGAAACGTGTCATCAAAAGTAATTAATGAAGCATAATATTATTTAATTAGGTTGCACTCTAGCTAGGTAAGTTAATCCCTTTTATTCTACAGCTCCCTGTAAACCATAGATCCGTATACCCTTGGATTAAAAGACCGCCCCTCACGTATTTACTAATAACTTTCTTTTGTAAAGGCGGGTAATTGCGAGTATTGTATTGTCATTCTCACTTATTGAGTTAAAGTACGTATATTTTGCGACTGAGAAATAGTATTATACATAGTTCATAATATACTGTGCTATAGATCTGGCGATATATTTATTTAAAATAGGAAAATATTGATTTATTATGGTGGATTAACCGAGGAATCAACATGTATATAATGTGTCTATCTCTCGTCTTGATATTTCTCTCATGTTCAGGTAAGATTTTATTACTTTATCTTCAAACATCATATTTTTATTACATAAAGCAAAGGTAAAGTTATGACCATCTTATGAAATTGATATTCAAAGTTGTTATGAAACATCTCATATATCAAATATTCCTTATCATCGTGTGATAATAACATACTTTATTAGCTGTGTAACAATTCATTTTCATTTGAATCGTTATTCCAAAAATTTCCAGAAATTGGGAACCTTTAAAGTTAGATATGTATACGAGCTGGTAAGATAAATAAAACTGACATAATGTATTGATCTACCCCAATACTCCAGGACATTTCAATGGTACAATAGACAGAATAGTTAACTTCAGCCTTGGCTTTCACCTATTTTCGTTGACATGAACTAAATATCTTAGGTTTAGTTTATTATTGATAGTCAACTATTTAGTTCTTTATGGTTTTGTTTATGAGAAAGCAAATATAAACGAATGAATTATTCAAGGTAATAAACCATAAAACAATGGAAGAATCCAACTTGTATGGAGATCATTGTTGTAAAATGTTCTTCTTAATGTTTATAAGCAAATCAATCAGAAACCAAAGGCATTCACATGGATGTTTCTCGAGGGATATTGTAGTGTATAGATGTCCACACAGTAAACGGATATGCTTCCATAAAACATATTGTCATGTAAAGAGATTTGGAGAGCGAGCAGGGGCAAAGAGGGTTAACGCCTGGCAGTGGGACAATGAGTTATTGATATACGACACAGGCTGAGGAGCATAAAACGAACCGAAATAACTCAAAACATAGATACATCAAATTTACAATGTAATTGTAAACAAAGAATTGTTCACGGTGAATCGTTTTCATAGCTAAATATTGTAGTTAAAATTCTTCACTGACCATATTGTAATAAACAAACTCAACGTCGGGTAGGTAGGGTCCACTGGGTTCGACTTCACTACTGTTAATAATTTAAGTACCATAGAATTCCTTTTGTTACAGTTGACTTGCTGTATTCATTACATGTAGCAACAAAGATAATATATCAAGCATAAGATATTGAAATTGGCCAATGTACTTCACAATACTAACAACCATGACACTGTGAGCCACCCTACATTATGAATAAAAAATAAAATTAAATCCAAATATAATCATTTTTTTGTACAGAACATGTGCCCTTTTTCTTGGTGTCATGCTGAATCTTGAAAACATCATTTATTTCGATCAAATTGATATTTCATAGCCATCTTCGATATTTTTTGATATTTCATTAATCCACAAAAACCATACTACGTTCATCAAAATCGTTTGAAATCTCATGCTAACTAGCAACTAATTTTGACGCTTATCAAAAAGTCAGTGACATTAACATTCATCAAAACATCATCAGCTTTGAACTCAACAAACAAATTGTTAGTTTTCACTAAGTCAAGGGCAATAATTAAAAACCGTTTAAGCGTATGAAAAATAATCAAATGAAATCAAAACTATAGTGTGTACAAGAGACAATTTATTGATTGAAATTATAAACGTGATAAATATAATAAGTTATAAAATATACAAGTAATATATTAAACTAGATTCGATCATACACTTTTATAGGCAATGATAAGTCGTAATTGAATCAAAATAATTCTCATAACATGATATATTGCTTTAGGAAACAGAAAACTATTGATAACATCTTGAAAACTAAAGTTTGAATTATTGACAAGTCTCAGCTTAACTTGTTGCTTTTATCTATAAAGAGCAAGGAAGCATGAAAACCTATGATGTTTTGCTCAATTTTCACTTAATATGAAATCTAAACGCATAAAAAACGCTAGAACAAAATTACGCAGGTTAGGCTTATAAAATCTCTCAAAACACAGGCACCTATAAGATCTGTAACATTATTATTATTTTGTGAATTCCTGAGCAAGATAACTTGTCGAATAGAGATTGTAACAATCCACAGGCTGTTAAGATGAGGTGTATGCTGCCTTTCATTCTGTTGTTTGCTTTTTTCGTATTCATTTCTGTGGATTATGTTTACATTCTACCCATACATAGGATTAAAATAGGGAGAAGTGGGGTTAGATAACAGCATGTTTAAACTGGACTATGTAGAGTTAATCTCAATCAATATAAAAAAAAATTACCACAACTAAGTTGTTAATATCTCTCTTCAAAGGGTTTAAGGGGATGGTTATCTCAAAGGGAGAGGTGCTGCATTTTGGGGGTTAATTTTAGAATTGAATATAAGATATAGTCTTCAGAAATACTAGAAATGTATGGAAATGGCATAATTTCTTTAAAATACTTCAAACTATGAATTTTACTCACTTTTTCTATAAATGTCTTTTTATACGCCCACATGAAATGGGGGGGGAGGGGCGTATATTGTCGTCACCCTTTCCGTCCGTCGGTCCGCCCATCCGTCCACAATTGCTCGTAAACTTTCTACAAGGCAGATTTGTTTGTAATCACCAAAGGTGGACCCTATTGAAAATCAGATAAATCGAAAAATATTTAGTATGAGTCATTGCCCTTGTTCTTTAAACGCTCGAAAACAGAAGGCGCAATTCTTGACGGATTTTGATGAAACTTGGTGTGAGTGTTTGTTAGCACCCAAGGATGAACCCAATTTAAAATCAAAAGATAGCTTGCCAGGCAAGGTAATATACGCCCACTGATTTTGAATAAAAATATTTAGCAGTATAGTAACAACTTCTTTTGAACTCTTTAGGGCGATACTGAATAATATTGAGTATGAGTTATTGCCCTTGTTCTTGAAAACGTGTTCAATTTTTAGCTCGTGAAAACTCTAGATGGCAAATATTCAATCTTCAGCCCGGGACTGAATAATAAAACCAAGTTTTGTCAAAATCCAGCAAGTATCATGCCTTTTAGTGTTTAATAGCTAAATTTGAAAGCGTTTTCAACAGCAAGGGCAATAACTCATACTAAAATCATCAAAATCCGCTAAGAATTGTGCCTTCTAGAGAGATTACGAGCTAAAAATTGAACGAGTTTTCAATAGCAAGGGCAATAACTCATACTAAATATTTTTCGATTTTTCTGATTTTCAATAGGGTTTATCCTTGGGTATTAACAAACACTCATGACAAGTTTCGTCTAAATCCATCAAGAATTGTCCCTTCTAGAGTGTTTACGACCCAAAATTGAACGTGTTTTCAAGAACAAGGGCAATAACTTATATTAAATATTTTTCTATTCTTCTTATTTTCAATAGGGTTCATCCTTGGGTGATTAAGAACACCCATACCAAGTTTTGTCAACATACGTCAAGAATTGTGTCATGTTGAGTGTTTACGAGCAATTGTGGACGGACTGACGGACGGACGTGGGTGACGGCAATATACGCCCCCCATTTGATGTGGGCGTATAAAAAATAAAAAAATAATTAGTATGAGCTATTGCCCTTGTTCTTGAAAACGCGTTCAATTTTAGCTTCTAAACACTCTAGAAGGCACAATGATGGACGGATTTTGACGAAACTGTTTCTGTAATCACCAAAGGATGAACCCTATTGAAAATCAGAAAAATCGAACAATAATTGGTATGAGTTATTGCCCTTGTTCTTGAAAATGCGTTCAATTTGTAGCATGTAAAAACTGTAGAAGGCACAATTCTTGATGGATTTTGACGAAACTTGGTGTGAGTGTATGTAATCACCCAAAGATGAACCCTAGCGAAAATCAGAAAAATCGAAAAATATTATTGCCCTTGTTCTTAAAACGCGTTCAAGTTTTAGCCTGTAAACACTCTAGAAGACCCAATTCTTGACCGATTTTGATGAAACTTGGTAATATTATTCAGTATCGTCTCGAAAAGTTCAAAAGAAGTGTATGTCTGAAGGTTGAATATTTCATACGGGTAATTGTAATTGTAAAATCAAAGCTGCCAGTGGGCGTATATTACCTTGCCTGGCATATCACAGAGTATCTTAAAATGACGAGTCGTCAGTTTAACATTCAAAGGCAGATATTTCTGGACACATATGGCTGTGAACACCATTACTGATTGGCTAAGCTAAAAAATCCCGTTTCTGAGACAAAAGTATGATTGGTCAAAAAAAAGATGGCCCACTTGGCCAAGATATCTCAACTTGCAAAAGGATCAATTAGACGGAAAAGCCCCAACTTATTTTATTTTTCAGTAACGGCTTAACAAAGTTATTTTTATTATACATGACTGTATAGAACATGCAGTTCAAATGTTAGGAGACGAAAACCGTCTATAATATCTACCATTATTGTTCCACAGGGGAGAATATTAAAAAGAAATGTACATACTTGTTCTGAATTTTAGGTGTGAAAAGTTTTACTATTAAAAACGAAACGTCATTGCGAGAGGAACTATTTGTTACTAATGAGTATGATGTCAACGTTCGACCATTGTCCAGAGTTACAGTTCAGATAAAGTTCAATCTGCTCACCATTCATGAGCTGGTAAGTACTACACACAGGTTTTTCTTAAAAATACTCCGCCAACACTTTCAGGTCAAGCCTGAAGCAGCCTGATTCCTCAAGAGTAGTAAGATGGTCTCTGATGGTTGGTAGCCAAATAAACGTCCCCCTTCACGCTACAGTTGATCTCTCAGTAAAAAAGTCTCCACACCCTTCATCAAACGATAACCACTGTTGTTTTTAATTGTCCAAAATTAGCTACAATAAGTACAAAGTAACAAAGAATGACCAACAAATTACTTTCACTTTGTGGCATTTTCCATTGGCTTTATCATATCGACATCGTTTTTAGTTTATCGACAAAACAGCATATTTAGGCCAGTCCACAATGATAGTATTATAGATGTAATTTCATTCTTTGTTTGATGTTTTCAGAACGATTAGCCTTAGCATTCGGATTGTATAAAAATAGTTTCCGTTCCTGAATCCACAGAACTATTAATGTTTTCTTTGCATCTCTGACATTTTGATTGAACACAATGTTAAAATTATATTGGTAATTTTATTGCATGTTAAATATTTTCAGAATATACGCGATCAAGTGTTTAGAGTTAGTGGATGGTTGACCATGGTAAGATGTCACGTTAAGTTAGTGATTTAAGCATAAATCTTTATGTAAAAAATAAAGATTTGTATTGTTAGTTGTCTCAGAAAACAGGAGCTAAAGTTTGGTTTTGCTCTCCAGAACATGATCCAGAATAATCTTTATTTGAAAAATGACTCTATTTCAAACATTCGTTGGTCACTCTTAGACCAATAGCTTTATACCCCTCTTAGAGATAAAGATATAAATATTTCCAAATTAATAACCTAATACAACCTTGATAGATGTCTAAAAGCAGAATGATTGTAATAATAACGCATGACAGTGAAATGAAATTGAGCTTAATTAGCAAGTAAAGCAAATAATATAGATGACTTTAATCATTTAAATCTATAAGAAAAAAGTCGAAATTCAGATCATTTTACTTTTAGGTATGGTTAGATAAACGTTTATCTTGGGATAAAGACAAACACGGCAATGTTCAGTTTCTGTTTGCTACTCAGAGTGAAATCTGGAGACCAGCTATGGTAGTCAGCAACTCGTAAGTCAAACGTTTTTTATATGACTGTTTCAATGTTGATGCTCAACAGACGTGTTGTTTGTACATGAACACGGTCTGGTGGTGACCTTTTTCTAATCAGAATGACCAAATGGTTCTGTATCTTTGTGATATAGTTTTCTAATTATCTAATGGAGTAAAAATATTTTGTCAATTTAGTGAACTCCATAATGTCATTCGGGTCTCCAGAAATCCCCATTTTCCAACCAATCTGTTGTGTATTCTTCATAAATAGAAAATTACTGACTATTTTTATGTGTATTCGAATATCTGTTTCTACACAGCAGTGAAAGTGATATTCCAATTTATGTAAAGGTACAAATAAAGTTGATTTACTAACGAAAATACGAAGATATTTGGGTATCTTTGGATAAGTTCAATTGGTATGCCACAAAGGTGATGATTTGTCATTAAATGAATGGTAATATTTGTGTCTATATATATTTCGTTGTTTCAGTATTGAGAACGTTGGAGTTCTGGCTGATGAATTCACGCCGTTTAGAATAACTACTGGTGGTCGTATCTTCTGGGAGCCGACGGGAATATTTGTTGTATATTGTGAGGTGGATATAACTTATTACCCATTTGACACTCAGGAGTGTTTTATAACCGTTCAGAGCTGGGGTTATAACCTACGGGAGGTGAATGTAACGGCTCTAGGTGAAGGCATAGATATACAGGAATTTAAACCTAATGGTGAATGGCAATTAACATCTTTTAGAGTCAGTACGGAAGATAATATTGACTCTAAAGGAGATTCGTTCAGTCAGATAAAGTTCCACTTCAAGTTGGACAGAAAGAGCAACTACTACTGGTTGAATGTTCTGTTACCAGTGCTAGTGAACTCTATTCTTACAGCTCTGGTATTTGCTCTACCAGCCGAGTCTGGTGAAAAGATGGGATATTCTCTAACAGTTCTGTTATCATTTGCTGTCTTACTGACCCTTGTGGCTGATAAAATACCTTCAACGTCTATAAACACATCCCTGATAGGTAAGAAACGGTTTTACAATTGACTACAAGTTACTAATTCGGGGAACTGTCTGCAGTCTTTTGTCAAGTAACTCAATCCATATCAATAGGTCCAGGCAGCCAGAAACTCGCCCAGGTCAACCAAGGCATTATAGCAATGATTTTCTATGAACTATAGCATACTTATAATTGAGAATATTGACAAATGCAGAAATACCATGAAATAAGATTATGCTGCAAAGACTCAGAACAATTGCTTTGTATTTTTTCCTATACCTTTTTTTAAGTTCGGCTTACACTTTACTCTAAATCTGGTATTATTTTATTTCCAAGCCGAATCAGTCATACCGACAGTTATTTCCCTTTGATGATATTAATATAAGTATTTCAATTTTAATTTCAGTTGTGTATTTTGCGATTGTTCTTGTTCTTGGTGCGCTGGCTGTTGCTTTAAGTACCATCGTCTTGGAATTTTACTTCCGGTCCGATGCGGAACCCATCCCTAAATGGGTGATGTTTATATCTAAGGATATAGTGGGACGAATGGTGTGTTATAAAGGAATAAATACAAGTAAAAATTCACGCCGAGTAGAGAATGGCGTGGAACCAAAGGTGGACTATAATGATGATCCTCCACTGGACAGAGCGACAACCATAAAACGAGAAATATTTCTACGAAAAGCATCAGAAATATACCGAGATAGAATGAACTGTGAATTGCGTTGGAGAGATATCTCTAAAATTTGGGATGTTTTTTTCTTACGACTTTATTTGCTAGTGATCACATGTGTAACCCTGGGCTTTCTTATTGGTACTGCAGGTCGCGCTTGAGGAAAATTTTCGTCAAAAATTCGTTCAAGTCTATTATACCACCGAAAAGTGCCTAAACGAAATTTGAACCACCTATTTTTTGACAATTTTTATTGTATAAAGTGCTAGTAGTTGATATAAAAGCGAAATATTAGACTGCTATGTTCCTACAACTGATACAGGAATGACACAAACAGTTTTGCCTGGTAGCATTAACCTTACAGTCGTTTTTAAAATCATTTGACTTGAACTACATTATACCAGGAAGAGATTTATTATTTCGGTTCACTATTATGCTTTTATTTAGTTTTTGTAAAGACACTGCCTGTATAATGTATTTAATAAAAGAATGTGATATATTTGTGTTCTTTATGGTGGACTGTGATAAATAATACATCATTAAAACAACATGAAGGGGCGATCGACAGAATCTGAGAGCAAATACGTTTTCAACATAGCAAAAAGTAGAATTTAACAAATATGTCTTAGCCCTACCCAGAATTGATGATACTCTATATGCCTTAAATGGTTCTAAATGGTCAAGTACACTAGATCTCAAAAGTGGATCCTGGCAGCTTCCTATGCAACAAAAGGAAAAGGAGAAGGTTATGAGTTTTGGTCTTTGGAATGCACCAGCAAATTTGAAAAGGCTGATTGAGAAAGTTGTAGCTGGTTTAGCGCTTTGAGGTGGCTTGTCTACTTAAAGAATCCAGAAGATCAGAGCTGGCGGTCTACCGAGCAGGAAAAGGCCCAACACTTGGGCAAAATAACCCCATTTGGCAAAGTTAGGTCTTGGCATTTTCGCTCTATGTGGCCTAAGGGAAACTTCCAATTCTTTCTGTAATTGTTTTTCCTTTGGTTTGGTGTCTTGTACCGAGTGCTGGCGGTTTACCAAGCAGGAAAAAGGCCAAACACTTGGGCAAAATAACCCCATTTGGCAAAGTTAGGTCTTGGCATTTTCGCTCTATGTCGCCTATTGGAAACTTCCAATTCTTTCTGTAATCGTTTTTCCTTTGGTTTGGTGTCTTGTACCGAGTGCTGGCGGTCTACCGAGCAGGAAAAGGCCCAACACATGGGCAAAATAACCCCATTTGGCAAAGTTAGGTTTTGGCATTTTCGCTCTATGTGGTCTAAGAGAAACTTCCAATTCTTTCTGTAATTGTTTTTCCTTTGGTTTGGTGTCTTGTACCGAGTGCTGGCGGTCTACCGAGCAGGAAAAGGCCCAACACTTGGGCAAAATAACCCCATTTGGCAAAGTTAGGTCTTGGCACATTCGCTCTATGTGGCCTATGGGAAACTTCCAATTCTTTCTGTAATCGTTTTTCCTTTGGTTTGGTGTCTTGTACCGAGTGCTGGCGGTCTACCGAGCAGGAAAAGGCCCAACACTTGGGCAAAATAACCCCATTTGGCAAAGTTAGGTCTTGGCATTTTCGCTCTATGTGGCCTAGGGAAACTTCCAATTCTTTCTGTAATCGTTTTTCCTTTGGTTTGGTGTCTTGTACCGAGTGCTGGCGGTCTACCGAGCAGGAAAAGTCCCAACACTTGGGCAAAATAACCCCATTTGGCAAAGTTAGGTCTTGGCATTTTCGCTCTATGTGGCCTATGGGAAACTTCCAATTCTTTCTGTAATCGTTTTTCCTTTGGTTTGGTGACTTGTACCGAGTGCTGGCGGTCTACCAAGCAGGAAAAAGGCCAAACACTTGGGCAAAATAACCCCATTTGGCAAAGTTAGGTCTTGGCATTTTCGCTCTATGTCGCCTATTGGAAACTTCCAATTCTTTCTGTAATCGTTTTTCCTTTGGTTTGGTGTCTTGTACCGAGTGCTGGCGGTCTACCGAGCAGGAAAAGGCCCAACACTTGGGCAAAATAACCCCATTTGGCAAAGTTAGGTCTTGGCACATTCGCTCTATGTGGCCTATGGGAAACTTCCAATTCTTTCAGTAATCGTTTTTCCTTTGGTTTGGTGTCTTGTACCGAGTGCTGGCGGTCTACCGAGCAGGAAAAGGCCCAACACAT